GCAATGATAATACCAACATGGGCCAGTGAAGCGATGTCCTCCATAACTAGACTGAAGACCAAAAGGACAGCAACTTGTCTGTTCCCCTTCCAAGATTCCCCAACGCTATTCCCCTCCCCCAATTCCCCAATAAAATCTTAAAAAAAAAAAGGATAGTGATCTAAACTGACAGCACCCACACTGCCTTACCTATGAAAATTTGACCAAAGCATGTGCCCGTGTGAACACGTTGTTGGGGCTGCCCACCTCTGCCCCTAACGGGGGCCGTGGAACTAAGGAGCCCAAAGCTTAAGCTGTCGCCATGTTGTACCTGGTGGCTTATAATTTCATATAGAGACATCAACAATCTGCACATAGGTGTAAGACAGTCCAGCAAAGTTCTGGTTTTTTTCCTCACGATGACTGGTGCTTTTTAGGAAATAAAAATGCAAACCTTTCAAAAAACGTGTTTCTTGTTCTTTTAATTTCCCTGTCTTGTGGGTGCTTGGTCTGCTGATCGTTCTGATAGGATGACGTCGCAGACCCGATAAACAGATTATTCTTCCCAAGAGAAGACTCCAGGAGCACTTTGTGAGATGGTGGAGATGTGTTTCTGTGCTGATGTTGCTGGGTACTGAGCACTGGAAATGTGGCTGATGAGATTGAGGAATTGAATTTTAAATTGTATTTAGGTTAACTTAATTAAAATTGAAATAGCCACATGTGGCTGGTGGCTGCCATATAAGGTAGTGATGATTTGGAGCCATCTGAGGGGAAAGGTGACATGACCCAGGAAAGGGAGCAGGAGGGTGGCTGCGACCTGCCTGGGGAGTTTCTTGGTTTAGTTGGTTGGTTGGCTTTTAAACCATTTTATTGAGGTATGATTGACATACAAAAAGCTGTGCATATTTAATGTATATAACTTGATGAGTTTGGAGGTAAGTACACACCCATGAAACCATCACCACTGTGTCATAAACATGTCCATCGCCTCCAAAGGTTTCCTCAAGTCTTCTTTACTTATTATTATTATTTTGTGTGTGTGATAAGACCACTTAATGTATGATCAACGTTGCTCGTAAATAATTTTAAGTACATAATACAACATTGTTAACGATAGGCACTATGCTGTAAGTTAGCTTTCTAGGTCTTACACATCGTGTATACCTGAAACTTTGTACCGTTTGACTATTACCTTCCGGTTTCCCCTGCCCCCAGCCCCTGGCAACCACCATTCTACTCTCTGCTTCTGTGAGTTTGACTATTTTAGGTTCCCCATATCAATGAGATCATGCAGTATTTGTCTTTCTGTGTCTGGCTTCTTTCACTTCCAGGTTCATCCACGTTGTTGCATATGACAGAGTTTTCTTCTTTTTTAAGGCTGAATAATATTCCATTGTAGGCCTATAGCGCATTTTCTTTTTCTAGTCATCTATTGATGGACATGTAGGTTACGTCCATGTCTTGGCTATTGTGAATGATGCTACAAGGAATATGGGAGTGCAGGTATCTCTTTGAGATCCTGATTTCAATTCCTTTGGACATATACCCAGAAGTGAGATTGCTGGATCAGACGATAGTTCTATTTTTAATTTCTTGAGAAATTTCCATACGGTTTTCCATAGTGGCTGCGCCAATTTACATTCCCACCAACGGTGTACAAGCGTTCTCTTTTCTCCACAGCCTCATTAACACGTGTCTTTTGTCATGTTTATAATAGCCACTCTGACCAGTGTGAGGTGATAGCTCACTGTGGTTTTGATTTGCATTTCCCTGATGATGAGTGATGTTGAGTAGCCTTTCATGTGTTTGTGAGCCATTTGTGTCTTTTTTTGGAGAAGTATCTTTTCAGGTCCTTTGCCCATTTTTTAATCGGGTGGTTTGTTTTTTTGCTATTGAGTTGTAGGAGTTCCACAGCCTGGGGAGCTTTGAAGACAGGGAGCCAAAGGGCAGTGCTGCCCAGAGGGGTTTCCCACTCGAGTTCTGTGTTGTCCTTTCTCAGACATTTGGAGCAGCCAGGAAGGCCAGACAGGGGGTGGGCTGACCAATCCATGAGGCACAATGCCTAGGGCCCACGAAAATGTCTTTTAATTTTTCTTTTTAAATCAGAAGAAAAATAAAAGAAGTTGGGGGCCAAAGAAAATGTTTGAATATATAACAACATATTCATCCTTATGTCAACCCAGTTATAAAATATAATTTTAAAAACATTTTAATGATGGAAGGAGCCCTTGAAAACAAAAGTGCCTAAGACCCATGAACATTGTGTGTGTGTTTGGGGGTGGGTGGGTAGTGGAGGGTGGTTGATGCTTCTACCATTGATTGCTCATCTTGGGCTCCCAGGTCCTTTGAATGCTCCCCCAGAGGCCACACCTGGACTCCATGAATGGGTCCACCTGACCCAGATGTTGGCAGAAAGGAGTCAAACAAGAGGACCACGGCTTGGCAACCATCCTGGGGTCAGAAGAGACCCCTGAACCCAGGCTTGTACAACACACCCCTAGACCCATGTGTACTTGGGCAAAGGGAGCTGCGTAGGTGCCCAAGAACCGTGGGGGAGGACAGAAGGGGGCGATGCTATTTTCTAGAGCGAGTTTATTCATCTTTACAGCTCCTCCGATACTGACCCATTTTACAGAGGAGGAATCGGGCTCAGAGAGGTTGAGGAACTTGCCCAAGCTCACACAGCTGGGATTCAAACCTTGGTATGTCGTGGATCTGACACCCGGCACAGATCCCTGGAACCCTCCCTCCGGCTGCTGTCGGGACCTCGGGCGGCCAGGGCATAACGAGTAGCTTTTGTGCTGACCACAGCCGCCCTCTGTAATGGCTTTTCCCTCCTTCCTGGAAACCCATTCTTTCAGAGCCGATCCTATAGGCTCGCTGGGCCTCAGTTTCCCCTTTGTGCGCGTGTTGGCGGAAGGGTCTCCCTCGGGTAACAAGGAAGGGTGCGAAAAGAGAAGGACGTTGCTAAGGCCCCAACCGCGGGTCTTCCCGGAAGCCCCCTCCCACCGCGAGCCGGTGGCTCGGGCAGGAAAAGAGATCGGCCCCTTTAAGTCCACCGGGAACGCCGGGCCGGCCGCGCCCTTCCTGGATCTGTGGCCGGGAATCGTGGGTCTCTGCGCGTCCCCTCGCGGTGCCCCGGGTTCTCCGCGCAGCGGCCCGGGAGGAATGAGCCGCATCTATCAGGACAGCGCGCTCCGGAACAAGGCGGTGCGGAGCGCACGGCTGCCCGGGGCCTGGGAGCCCGCCGCCCACCAGGGGTAGGCCCTGCCCGCCCCTCCCCGCGCCTACGGCCTGGCCTTCGTCGGCTCTCCCGTCCCAGCTTTCAACCTGGGCTCCCCGATTGGAGAAGGGGGCGCCCGGGGCCGGGGTGCGCGGGGGGGCGAGGAAAGACAGGACGTGCCAAAGCTCCTCCAGCGCTCCCGTCGCCCTGAGGCCCCTAAGACACCGATGGGCTTAAAGCCCCAGCTGCCCCTGGTCCCTGGGGAGAGGGTGTTGTCCCCACCCCCAAACAGGACTTGAAAAGGCGCAGCTTGCTCGGTTCAAGCCGACCTTTGTCTCCACCCACCCTGTGGCTGTAAACTCCAGCCACTTGCCACGCTGCTGTGCTTTCCTTCAGGCCTTTGTGCGGCTGCACCCCCTCTCTCCAGAAGTGACAGTGGCCTGCTGTGACCGGAACCGTGGGTGGGAGTCCCCTTGGTGGAGCTGGGAGATGGCAAGGCCTGCCTGGAGGCCCCGGGTGGGATCGCAGGGCCAGGCCTGCTATCACGGAGGCGGAGGTTGTGAGAATGAATGGACCGTTCTGTTTGCGATTACAAGCACTGAAGAATTGAGGGGGTGAGGGGGCGGGTAGGGACAAGTACGTCCAGTTGTCATGTTTCGTCCCCATCCCTTCAGCTGTCCCCACCCCTCTCCATTTCTGTGATTCCAAGAAAAGGAAGTCCACAGGTTCTGCTTTCAAAACTGGAATGGGGAAGTGGGGTCCAGTTCCTCTCATTGGGGACCCTGTGATCCGGGGATGGTCACAAACCTTGGGTCTCTCAAGTGGCTATGAGAACAGGAATATGAGAGTGCTGTAAAACAGGTGCAAAGGAAAAAACCTTTATAGCAGCCTAGACCCCTACCGCACCTAATTTGGTTAAATAAAGAAGTAAAATCTTCTATATTTATTAAGCACTGAATAGTTTATCTATCAAACACCTTCACATACATGATCTTCTGTCATCATCAAAGTGAGGTGGCTTTACTCTCCCATTTTGTAGATGAGAAGACTGAGGCTCCAGTTACAGTACCCCCTGCAGTTCGGGCCACAGGTTGGTCTTGTAGCTTGACAAGGTCCCTCCTGCACTCTGGGCAGCACTTCAGCCTTTGAGACCCTCAAAGGAATGGAGGCCCCACGTGGGAAGCACAGACAAGGGGGCTGCTCAATGCCCGGCCTGCTCAGGGACCAGGTGAATAGGAGACACGTATGGGACTGGCTTCTGTCCCAGTGCAGACTCTGAGCTGGGCCATCAAACTTGTGGTTCTTTCCTGAGGACTGGCAGAACCAGCTGATCACTCCTTTTCCTCTCATCTCCAGGGGCAACGGCGTCCTGCTGGAGGGAGAACTGGTCGATGTATCTCGTCACAGCATCTTGGACGCACATGGGAGGAAGGTGAGGATGTTTCTTTGGGGGTCGCCCGCAGGAGCTGGCACTGGCTCCATGGTCCTCACCCACCAAGGCATCTCCCTGTGCTTGGCTCAGCCAGTGCCAAGACTTGCGGTGCAGCTCTTTTCTTGAGGGGCTCTCAGGACAGTGGGGAGGCAGGCTGGGAGATCAGAAGCCAAAAGGACCACTGAGGTGGAAGGGATCAATTAGGGTTGTGCTGGGGCCGCGGGCAGATGGCAGGGTCTGAGTTTTTGCTGAGAAGACCAACAACCAGGCCCCGAGCCCAAGTGGTGTGTTTGGGGCAGGCTGAGGGTTGAGAGGAGGAAGGGGTGAGGTGAGTGGTTTGGGCCTAAGGCTGTGGTGCTGAGTGGGATGGAAGGCCCTCTGAAAAGGTCCTGTGGCCTTTGGATGGGATGGGTTTAGAGTGCTGGCAGGCTAGCTGGGGTGGGCTGGCTGAGTGACTCTGTCCTGGGAGGTCTCAGGGGCCAGGCTCCTGTCCCCTGGTCTGGTGGTTCTCACTGCTTGTCCTGATGGACAGGTCAGAGTGGGGTATCGGCCTGTGTGGGTACGGGGTCAGCAGTGACCTTCCTTTTTCTGGGTACCAGCCCTGTTCCCGGGAAGTCCTGTGTACTCTGAATTTTTTGGAATCCAATTACTTTAAATGTACTAGTGGAGTTTGCTATTATATTAGAAGGAGCCTTCAAGCTACTCCGTTTGCCGAGCGCTGGGTCTCTTGGCATGGGCCCGCTCATCTGTAACATCGCTCTGTGTGGCTAGGTGTTTCGGGATGTTGGGTTTTTCTAAAGCAGGCCACTGTTGGGGACCTCTATGTGTGGACAGGTGGGGAGCGTGGGGGTGGGAGGAGGATGTCTTGGGCCTTGCTTTCCAGCCTAAGTGTGAAGCTGACATTTCTGACACAGTTGACACTGCCCTGGGCTTCAGTTTCCATGTCCATCCCAGTCACACCCTTCGCAACCACCTCACCCCAGGTGTCCATGGACACACCCGGTGTTCACCACCTGTACTTGCCTGCGTCTCTTTCCTGAGCGTTAGTTCAGAATGCCCACCTCCTTTCCAATAGCCCCACGCCAATGTGCTGACCACCTCATCTCCTTAGTCTCTAGAACTGAGCTCATCACAACCCCCTCTCGAGGTGGGCCAGAGGCCCGGTGCCACACGGAGCCAGTGTCTCTCCTACACCCCATAAAAACAGTCTCTGTTCCCCGCTCAGCACTGACATCATGCCAGCAGATGCTTTGCTGCCACCTCCCCTCCTGAGCATGCAGGTCCGCACGGTGGGCACACCAGTCTGGACCCCCCTGGCCAGGCTGCCAAGGAGAGCCGGCAGTAGCCCCATGCTGATGCAGGGCTGGCCTGCCCCGACTGTCTTTGAACAGGCAGGGCGTTCTTTCGGCCCCTCTCCAAACGTGCCTCCTCTGAGTTCCCTCTTCCCGACGACGATAGTGCAATAGCCCGCGCCAGCACTGGCCTGCAAACCTCCGCTGCCTTCCTCCCCCTCCCCCAGCTCCCGTTGGGCTCCTACCTCAGCCATTCCTTTCCCTCTCCTCTCTTCCCTTCCTCTTCCCACATCCCGCTCCTCACATGGCCCCCGGGACGAGCCTGTCCTGATTAAACCTGGCACTTGCCCCTCCTGCCTTCTGGTTGTCCCCAACCCTCTGCCAACCTGTTTCCTGAAAGACATCTCTGAGGGTCTCGCTGCTGCTCACACACCTTTCAGGATTCCTTCTTGTCTGCCAAATAAAATCCAAACTCCAAATGCCAACTCAAGGCCTACCTCAAACCAGCCGCGCTTCCATTCTCAGCCTCCATGGGCCCCGTGTTGCTCAAACAGGCTCTAAAAGCCGGCGACAGGCTTTTAATCCTCTTCCTACACCCTATTTCCTCACTTGCAGCTTTCTCCACCTTCGCCATGCCGCCTTCTCTGTTTCTCCCAGAAGGCGGCTTCCTCGTTTTTAATCCCTACGAGCATTTACCCGCCTGCTTTGATTAGAAGCATGGGAGGAAGGTGACAACCAGCATGACAGCACACTTCATGCTCGCCACTGTGCTTGCTCCTTCCCTGGCTCATCGAATTCTTATGACATTCCTGAGAGCAGACATCACGTCCCCGCGCGACAAGGGAAACTGAGGCTACGAGGCGCTTGCCGCAGGGCCCACATCTGTTGGAAGAGGCAGAGTGACCACCCTCAGAAGTCCCTTTCAGTGCCTTTTCCAGGGCACCTTGGCTGCTTCCCCTCCTGGGGCCCTTGGTGCTTGGGTTATGGTTGTCTGTCTGTACTTTCCCTCTTGGCTATGTGGAGGCCTTGGGGTCAGGCCCTAGGCCCGCCCTCTCATGGATGTCTAGCATGGTTCATTATATGTGGCAGGTGCTCTTACGAAACACGTGAATGAATAAATGGATGGATGGATGGATGGATGAATATTAGAGTGGGGCATATGCCCAGCTTGAATATCTTTGGAGCCGCGGTAGGATTCCGGGGTACAGAGTGAGGTTGGGGAGGGCTGCAGCTGGAGCCCCATGGGGAGTTTGTGCGTTGGAGGGTGGGGGGGACTGTAGCAGCCCTCCTGACCCCCTCTGCTTGGCCCCCAGGAACGCTACTACGTGCTGTATATCCGGCCTAGTCGCATCCATCGCCGTAAGTTCGACCCCAAGGGAAATGAAATCGAACCCAACTTCAGTGGCAACAGGAAGGTGAACACGGGCTTCCTCATGTCATCCTACAGTAGGTGTCCGCTGCCCCTGCTCCCTCGGGCCCCGCTGCACTGTGGCTTTCTTTTGTCTCCCGGGCTCTCTTGGCCCCTAGAAAGCATCTTCTCAGCATGGTTGGCTTCAAAGCCCATGTCTGGCCTGAGGGGCCCCCTGGCTGCACTCCTTCCTGCCCCCCATTCACTCAGGGGATCCCAGTGCCCCGCTTCGGTCCCAAGGACCTGGCTGACCTTCCCAACTTCTGCCATCTCCTGCAGTCTGGCGGAATCGTCCAGGAACCTGGCTCTGGCTCTGACTGCCTCTGTGCAGAGCCCAGGTAGCCCCAGACGGCCTCCACGTTCCTGCCAAACTTCTCATTTGGTTCTTGGGCCCTTTCTGATTTCATTCCTCTCCCCACATCTGGTGGTAGAAGGACCTCTGCTGTCAGCCCCTGTGTGAGAATCCGTCCATCCCGCTGTCATCGTATTCATCCCTGCTTCCAGTCACTCATCAATTCTTAGCGAGCATTTCCCACGTGCCAGGCCCAGAGCCCATGCCTGTCTGTACCTCCTCTGCCTTGAGCTCCTTGGTGAGTCCTGGCAGGATGGGCGCTCAGGTGATTGTGAGCATATAAAACACTCAGCCGTCACCTGGCTCCTAATTGGCCCTCCCTAAGTGCTTGCTCTTACTGTGGGAGTAATCCTCTCGTGCTGTGTGCCTGCAGGGGTGGACGCCAAGGGTGACACTGACAGACTCACGCCCGAGGCCCTGAAGGAGCTTGTCAATAAGCCAGAGCTGCTTGCACTGACAGAGAGCCTCACCCCCGAGCAGACGGTGGCTTTCTGGATGTCTGAGTCAGAGATGGAGGCGATGGAGCTGGAGCTGGGGGCCGGGGTACGGCTGAAAACTCGAGGCGATGGCCCCTTCCTGGGTGAGCAGTGCAGCCCCCACTGTGGCCTGATGTTCCCATATGGCGTGCAGGGGCTCCTGGCCTCCTGTCCAAGGCTCCCCCACCTGCTTTGAGCTCATGGGAGCTGGTGAGGTCTGGCCTCCGTGGGGACATGATTCCTTAAGATTTATTCCTAAATCCTGGACAAGTGCCCTGAGGCCAATAGTATGGACACTCTGAATGCTGGGGTGCCACCCAATCTTGTGGTTCCTGTGGGTGGCCTCTCCTATCTGGTGCCTTGGGGGGGGTCCCACCCAGGGTCTCCCTGAGGTCCAAACCCAGACTGAAGAGAACAATGGCTTACCCCAGGCTCGGGAACCCCAGCAGAATGGGCCAGCCTCTACTATGTTTCCACCACAGCTCTAGAGAGAGGCCATTTAACTTCTTCCCTTCTTTCAGATTCATTAGCCAAATTGGAGGCTGGAACAGTGACCAAGTGCAATTTCGCTGGTGATGGAAAGACAGGGGCATCGTGGACGGAAAACATCATGGCTCAAAAGTCTTCAGAGGGAGCCTCAGCGGAGACCCGAGAGCAGGGGGACGGGGCAGAGGACGAGGAGTGGGTAGGTTAAGGGCGATGACTGTGGACCTGGCTTTGGTGTGGTTTATCTCTTGGCAGAAGTTTTGTAGGTACTGGTTGTAGCTGGGCGTAAGACAAGGTGACAGCAGCATAAGCTTTACCCTCCAGCCTTGGTGGAATTTAATGGGATTCCTGAGAGTACATTAGCATCAGGAAAATTCCTTCAAGGTGTGAAGGGTGACAACCTGGGACCTTTCTTTTTTGATGGGTCTGAACTGTGCCAATCTACAAGAAAGCGTCAGAGATATATAAAAGCAAGGGATGGAAGGAATGGACAGCAGAAGGGAACCAATGAGACTTAATAGCAACTCTCCAAACATTGTCCCGTCAACTGAATACATTAAACATGCTGAGGCAGGTGAGCCACTAAATGAGTAGTTTTTTCTCCTTTGTACTGGGCTCCCTGCCCAAAGTGGCTGGAAAATGGCTGACTGGGTCCTTAATAGTTTTTGTTCCAAAGGTCAGCCCCCTAGTTGATCCTCAGCCTACTCACAACTGATTTGTTTTTCTGAAGTGTATTTTACCTCAAGATTTGAATTGATGTCAAAAGGCCCCAAATTGCACATTTAAAAACAAAGCCACAGAAAAATGGGCTATTTATCTAGGTGAAGATGATGGCATTTACCAGAGAAAGCAGGGGCAGGTAGAGTAGAGGGTCTGGTTTCCCTTTTGTCTCATAAAGTGAGTCTTGGACTGAAAAGCAATTGGAGCTGCAAGGCTGGCTCCCTGGGCCAGGTCTGCGGAGGTGAGGCCCAGGCAGGTGGCTGAGGGCCCCACTGGTACCGCTCCGTGGAATCCATGTTTGTCCGATGACTTGGAGAAGACTGTTATGAAATGTGCTCTGTTCACATCTCTTTACATCACCCCCAGGACGACTGAGGGTAGTGGGAGATGGAGTGTCTTCGGAGCCCACCAGCGCTGTTGAGAATTTCTTCCACCGACTTCCATTCTGGAGCTCGAGGAAGCAGTCCGCCCAGCCTTACCTGGTTCTTCCTTACAGCCGCCATGAGACACCCTTTGAACAAGCTCTGCTAAGATAAAAAAAATCCAAGACCATGACGACGTTAGCAGTGGAGCCCCATACTGTTGCTCACGGAGGGTCCCTCCCTGGATGTGAGTTTAGACTTCTTAGACATTTCCATGACGGCCACCTCCCTGAGTGGCAGCCTTGCTTCTAGAGGCAGGTGGTGGGCGAGTCCCTGGGGCAGTTCCTGGACTTGGTCTTGGTGCTGAATTGGGGAACATCCCTCATCTGCATGCAGAGTGGCTCAGAGGAGAAGTTAGCTCCTTCCTCTCTTCCTCTGTCCTTGTACTTCCTGCGTTTCTTCCAAACCTGCCCCACTCCACAGTGCTGAGTTCTGTGGTCTCTGCTCTCCTGCGTGAGCCTTCTGTCCCTGCATCCTTTTCTTCCCCCCAGAGCTGCCGGCTCTTTATTCCTCCTCTGGTTTTCTGACACCTTGGGGGTTCCTGCCTCCTGGCCTCCCCAGCTGCTTTCCTGGGGATGCTGTGCTCAGCTTTGGTGGGCTGACCCCCATCTCTCAGATGCACTCAGCCAGGCCACATTTTTGATAACACTTTTTCTATTGTTGTTTTGTACCTTGGGAACTTTTCATGAATGAGCAAATCTCCAGAAAAGGATTCCTGTACACCGACTGGGTTATTGTCTGGTGTAAACAGCCTTCCAGTTGAGCAACGTCCCTATGAGAAGGAAGCCATTTCTTTTTGGTCATGAACGTTGCCTGGCTGGGTCGTGTGCCTTTGAACACCCTTTGAACAAGCAGATCTGTGATGAGACCTAGAGTTGAAAGCTGTATGCCTTAAGCGTGGGTAGGAACTTGGTAGCATGTGGACCCTGCTTCCCTCAGGGAAAAGAGGGGGTGGTGGTGAACTCACTGTTATTGCGTCCCCTGATGTATCAAATACAGCACTGTATGCTTTCCGTGGTAATAATTACAGCCACTGACTGTTGTGTGCTTCCTGGTGCTAATACTTATGCCAAGCATTTGCAATATCTTACTTAATCATTATAACCCCACATGATACATGTGATTTTTTTAAAGTGTTTTATTAAAGTTTTTTGGGGCGACAATGGTTAGTAAAGTTACATAGGTTTCAAGTGTACAATTCTGTAATACATCATCTATGTATCACATTGTGTATTCATCACCCAGGGTACATATGATTATTATCCCCATTTTTTCCATCTGAGGCTGAAGCTCAGAGGCTCCACTGATGGAATATAGAGGAGAGAGCCTAGGCAGTCAGATTTCAAAGTCCACATTCCTAACTACTGGATTATTCTGCTTCCACATGTATACCGTAGAGGAGAAAGAGGGCCTCAGAGATGTTAAGTGACTTGCCTGGAGTCACACAGCTGTTAACTAACAGAGTCAGGATTCCAATCCAGAGCCGTCAGAAGCAAAGCATGTGCTCCTTCCCTGTCCTCTGCTTCCTTGGCCTACAGAAGGGCCTTGGACACAGGGGCCCGGGGAGGTCCTGGCCGTGTGAAGCAGGGTTATAGTCCCAGACTTTAGGGAACTGCCCAAAACCCTTGACTGCTGATCTGTCCAGGCTGCTGAGTAGGCTATACTGTGCTTCCAGCATTTATTATCACGGCTCAGACTTTTGTTTGCTTTCCTGCATGTCTGAGCCTGGGCTCAATAATACGGCTGTGAGGCCTGGGACTCACACTTTAGTTGGGCCACCTGAAGTGCACTGCTCATGGGTCTCTTCTGTTCTTGTTGCCATTTTCCTTGTTTTCTCTCACCTCCATAATTGTAGAAGCTGCCTCCCTGGTGTCCTGTGTCTGAATGGACCTGGCTCACTGTGGAGCATCCTGGGACCTCAACCACGCAGTGGACAGGATAGTAGTTAGAGCAGGAAGAGAACTGGGGACACTGGTTGGGGGTAGAGGCATCCTGCTGCCCAAAGCACCGTGGCCAAAGTGTATGGCAAACTCATATGGGCAGGCCACCATTCCAAACAAAGAGGCTCAGTGTGTCAGTGGGGGAAACCCTGGGCAACCAATGGGCTTGGTGTCTTCCGGGGGCTCCTGAAAGAAAAAAGACCATTTGGCTGGAGCTCAGAGAATGGGTAGAGGTGGAGCTGTGTTTGAGATGAGGCTGGAGATCGGGCATGGCATCTTCAGCAGACTTTATCTTTAACATCCTGGAAGCCAGTGGTCCCTGGAGTGAGATCTGATTTGTGTATTTCAAAGGTTGCTTGACTACAGAGAAACTGCAGGCAATAAGCCCAGTTAGGAGACTGCGGCAATTGTCAGGGTAAGAGGCTAGAGTGGTTTGGTCTATAGCGATGACAATGGAAGTGGAAAGAAATTCAGGTAGACAGAGGAGGAAAGGGACTTTTCAACAAGAGAACAGCACCAGGAAAGCCATGGAGGTCGGGGCGTGATCTGTTCCTGGAACATGCAATTTCTGTATATGGTTGTTATACTATACCTACACATGAAATTTGATAATCCTTTTTTAATTGTCATGTAATTACTTTCCATATTGCTACATATTATTCATAACCATTGTTTTTAAGATTGACTACCATAGCTCTATCAACTGTTCCAATTTTGGGGTAATTAATTTGTGCCTTTTTGGAGCTAATATAATTAATGTGTCAAGAACTGTTTTAAATTATATAGCCCCCTCATTCTCACCCACCTACTCACCTCCTTCCGTGTCCCCTTCCCCACTATATTTTTGAGTTATTTCTTTAGGGGCAGATTTCCAGGAGTCAGATTACTGGGAACCTAGGAATTTTTTGTAAAAGTCTTGTTATATTGCCAAATTGCTTTCCAAAAGGGTTGTTCTAAATTGTAATTTCACCAGCAGTGTAGGAGACGACCATTTTCATTGCTACTGTTGCCAGAATTGGGTATGATAACATTTTAAAAAATATTTGATAAGGTGAAAATAATACTTTCAAGTTAATATTTTAATTTTAATTAGCTTCCCCCCCATTAATAGTGAGCTTAAACATTTTTTTCATGTTCATTTCCTAGATGTATTTCCTCTTGTTACTCAGTTCCTTTGCCCATTTATCTACTGAGGGGGTAGGTCTATTTGGTTTAACAGTTATGTATATTTTACATACAATCCTTTGCCATATTTTAACAACTTCTTTTCCACTTTTTTAATTTTTTCCATTTTTAAAAATGGGTTTTACAAACATAAAATCTTTATATAGATATAGCTGTTGACTTTTCATGATTTTTATTGCTTCTAAGCTTATGTTCTCTTTTGTTGTTAGATTCTCAATTTCATTTTCTTCCATTTTGGTGATTATCTGGTTTTATATTTAACTCTTTAATCCACTCTGCCTTTAATTTGTGGAAGGATAGGAAGTGAGATAACTAAATTGCTTAATTTCAGATTGCTAACCAGTTATCCCAACAAATTCATTGAATTCCTTCCTACTATTAAGTTATGAGGTCTCCTACAGTATGCATTAAATTATTGTATACTTAAATTATCTGTTATATTTCAATAAGTCTCCCTATGATGTCAATTTGAACTATCGTAGTAGGTTTTGTTAGTTGATAGAGCTAGGTCCCCCTCATTCTTCTTCTGTTTTAGAATTTTCTTTGGTATTCCTTCTCAATCAACATTTAAATATTCCTTCTCGGGCGGGCCAAGTGGCTGAGTTGATTAAGAGCTCGCTCAAGAGTGTGAGTTCTGAGCAACAGGGTTGCCGGTTTGATTCCAGGCCCGAGCTGAGCTGCCAACAGGCGGCAGGATGGCTCAGCTAATAAATAAATAAATAAATAAATAAATAAATAAATAAATAAATAAATATTCCATCTCAATCAACATTTAAAACACTTTGTCAAGTTTCAGTACATATTTACTGCCTTCGGATTTTTTTTTTAATTAAAAAACTCTGGCTACAAGAGTAATACATATTTATTTTAGAAAATTTTTAAAAAGAAAAATATATAATTTCACCATCGTTTTTTTAAATCACGTAGGTAGTTATATGCCAGGTACTGCTCCAAGTGCTTGTAACTCCTTTTGTGTTCATAACAACTGCCTGAACACATTGTTTTTTTCAAGCAGAAAAGCCCCCGTTTTACAGTAAATGAAATGGATATTATGCCAGTTTTACAGATGAAGACACTTGTCCAGGGTTCCCATTTGGTCAACAGAGCCAGGGTTCTAATCTGGGCAGTGTGGTTCCAGGTACTTATGCTGAACACTATGATGCTGCCATTCCATTAGCCCATTATTCATATTTTAGTGCATCTACTTCTATTTTTTTACAAAGTGGCGTGTCCCTGTACGTACTTCGTGTAATCTTTTTACTTTAACAGATGTCATGATCATTTCCCTATACCATACATCTTTCACATCATTTTTAATTACTTATTTTTCTCAGATTCATGTGGATCAATGCATTTAACAATTTCTTATTTTTGAATAATTAGTTTGCTTCCCATTTTCCCCTGTAATAACACTGATGAAATGTGCGTTCTCACGGCTAAATCTTTTCACGTATCCATAATCATTGTATTATAAATTCTAAGACTGGAAATGCTAGGTCTAATGTTCTATATATTTTAAAAGCTTTTGATACATATTGCCAGTCATCTGGATAGGTGATTCCAATTTCCAGTTCTATCTGCAGTATAGGCACATGTGCCTCAACCTCCCCCTGACTAACTCATTTTAAAAAACCCAAAAACCCCAAAACTTTACCAATTGGGATAGCCGGTACCTTTTAATGAAATTGTATTAAAGAGCCGTTAATTCCATCATTCACCGTCTGCCATGGATAGAATGCCAAAAAATAAAAATGACCTTAATGTGCCCCAACCGGGGAATGGCTAAATTAGCTGGCATCTCACTCCGTGGAACGTTCTACAAGTGTCACGGGTAAGACAGGACCGTATGTTTTTAGCGCAGACGGTGCAAAAGTGAGGCTCCTGCCGAAAAAATTTGTGTATCTTCTTTGGATCTGCTTTTCCGACGTGCTCAGCTCTGTGCCGGGCCCGGGATTCTGCGACAAGCGGTCCATCTGGGTGGACACAGATCCGGGCTCGCGTCCTGGCCAGACATTGACTGACCAACCGACGGTGGCCGAGGTGACGACCCTTCCCAGCTTCGGTGTTCGCACCAGCCTTGGTCAAGGGAACCCGCCGCCCACCCTGGAACCTTCCTCGGGCGCCAGGGCAAGTTTCCGCCGGCTACTTTCAGCAGCGCACCAACCGGAAGTGTCCGTGTTGTGGCGGAAGTTGACGCTTTCTGGAAGCAGCGGGTGTTGAGGGAAGCG